CAGACCAAACCAGACCAAACCAGACCAAACCAGACCAAACCAGACCAGACCAGACAGACCAGACCAGACAGACAGACCAGACCAACAGACAGACCAGACCGGACAGACCGGACAGACCGGACAGACCGGACAGACCGGACAGACAGGACAGACAGGACAGACAGGACAGACAGACAGACAGACAGGACAGACAGGACAGACAGGACAGACAGACAGACAGAGGGAGACCTAAACTTCAGACCATTGAGGCCGAGGGGATAAACGCAAGCTAGCAGCCAAATGTGATGGAAAATGATGACAAGGTGATGCTCCGATGATCAGGATTGGAGGTGAGCAGTCAGGTGTAAGTTTTGACAAGTGTGAGTTGATGAGACAGGCAGAACCCCCCCAGAACCCGACAGATGTGATGTACAGGTGAGATCAAACTAGGGGGCGGCGGGGCGATAGTGGAGTGGATGAGCCCGCGCTGAAGACAAAGATGAAAGAGTGCAAAAGTGAACAGAGATGATAAACAAAGGAGATCTCCTGACTGAACACTCTGTTGTAAATCAAGGGGTTGCGTCTTGTCGCCCTCAGCCTGCACCAACCTTTCAATAGTCTAAAAACAAGATCCAGCTGGCTAACAGTAGCTTTCCAGATTGTAGCTACAGTAACAAGCAGTACGTGTAGAGAAGATGTTCACTTACGATATTCTGGGCTCCTAGGTTTGATTTCTCTCTCGCTCAGTCCTTCTCTGACCCTGGTGTTCCAGGGCACCATCTCCTGCTGATGTTCTCGAGCCATGCACCCTCGGACTTCTCTTGCAGCTCTCTTGCAGACGGGAAACAGAAGATGCAATCTTGATCCTCTGCATACTGGGCACCATCGTCGAAGGCCGTCACGGCTCTTTTGTCGCTCTTTGGTGGATGGAACTTCCCATCTTCTGGAGCACGAGTGTTGTTCTGTGGAGCACTCTTCTTGAAAGTAAGAACTATAGAAACCACCAGAGGCAGTGCCAACGAAAAGCAGCTGAGCCACGTCATGGGGAAGCTGTTGATGAGAAAGAGACTGCTGGAACTCAGACTGAAGTGACTGGAGTGTTCCATTCAGCAACAATAATTATTGTCAAGTGTTGTCAGATATTGTCTGTATATGTGCCATGTGTTTGCTTTGGTTGAGTCATGTCATGGCCGCGAGCCTCGAGCCAGAAGACAAAACGGACAAGCCAGGACGGAATGAATGCCAAGCTTTGCCAATGTAACAGTCCTGGACATTCATGGACCCCCGATACTATCAGTGCGGGGTCGCTCCCAGGTTGCAATATTTGGGGCCAGAGGTTACCCATAAATTGGTATGCAGTGTTTCACCTGATAGCAAAAGGTCCGGTGTGTCCTTCATTCCAAAGTCGCCAAAAACGATGGAAGATAAAAATCCCACCATCAAAATCCCAGCACACATGAACCATTGGAAGGTAATGCCATCGTAGATCTCGTACTTCTTGACCTTAGATTGAATCTGATTGTCCATTCCCAAGCTCTCTTGACATGCTATACAATGCCGCATGCCATACTTTGCTTCGAAGAGAAACTGGTCCATCTGGCTGAAGGAGTCATGATTCAAGCCCTTCACAGTCGACTACCAAGAAAAAAAAAGGATTGAGAGTGGTGGCCTAATGTTCTAGGCTACTTCTAGATCTTCTAGGTGTTCTTTTCTTCTGTCTTATGTCATGTTCCCACTCACGGCCCTCTACTTCTGTCATTTCCGCAAAGGACCGGCGCGTACTGCACGCCATACGCCACGGCAGCGGAGGCTGCACACAGGAGCCCGAGCCAATACTCCATGGCGCCATACGCCGCGGCGTCCGCTGTGTGGGGCAGGGAGGCATCTCCTATCATGTCGACAACTGTATCTATTGACAAGGACGTATAAGGAGGTTATAAAATAGCATTCATTAGCATTTGCTGACTGCTTTTTGCTCTTTGGCCAGAAGTGAATATATTTGATTCCAAATTCCAGACTCCAAACTACAATCGAGCCTATGGCAAATGCCTGAACATGGAACGAGTGATTCATCCCACCAATTGTTTGAATGGGAATTTTATTGTATTGACATGTATTGACGTGACATGAGCATGCACAAGCAAGGCCATGTAGAACCATCTGTCCTGCGAAACACTCTAGAAAGAATCAACCCACCGATCATGTCAATCCCTGTTGTGATGATATCTTGTTCTCCATGTCACATCAAGAGGCGATTCACCTCGTGGCTGAATTCTTGCTGATGAGCCGTAACTGAATTCATTCCGATTCATCTCATGTAGTAACAGGTGCCTTACTAGTAGTAACAAGAAGCTATTCGTAACAAGTGCCTCGCTAGTAGTAACAAGTGCCTTACTAAGTAGTAACAATGTTTGCTATTGTCTTGTGTTCTTCGGTTGTTCCGGACTTCCGCCGAAGAAAACGGTCAACTCGGAGTCAACTCGAGACCCAACTCTAAGAGGATTTGGCTTTCTTAAACACCGGGTGTTTGGATGTGCTAGGATTGCTGCCTAAAAGGAGGCCAGATGGAGCCATGATTGACCAATTTGACCGCCTCAAGCAAATCTACAATGCACGAACGTCACACGAGAGTCTACAATGCACTTGCCTTCGGCTCGGGCGCTTTGCCGCCCCTCCAGTTGCCGCAGCGCCCAGAGCCCTTCCCGGTACCGGGCGTGGAAGGCTGGCAAGGACGGGCAAAGGCTACGCCTCAGGCGTGGATTGTGAAATGTCGTGCGGAATGCTTGAAAGGTCGAAAATCTTGGAAACTCATCAAGAGATTCTGTATATGTTTTTCAAGCTGGGCTGAAGCCTCACTTGCAATGGATCTGGAGAGAAACAAACCAGAAATTCACGCTTTTTTCAGCCTCCAAATTGGTTCGCAGTCACTCACTCTACCCGATTTGTTTGTTGCTTCCAACTGGCATCTTTCGATTTCACAAAGATGTGAACATCTCTGACCTCAAAGAGTTATCATTGGATGTTTAGTGAATTGGAACTTTCGTACACTCCATCAGTCCCAACCAAAGACTAATGGAAAAAGAACACATCAATAAGACCAACGAGCAACAGTCCAGTACATGTGTGCGTGAAATGCATGGAAAACTACACGGTCCCTCCAACAACCATAAATGTCTTCCTTGCAGGGACCATGGCATCCACTAAAGTAGTAAACGGGAGAGAGAGTATCTCAGGTGTCAGAAACTTCCAAAGAAACCACGTGGGCGGAATCCAGCAAACTGTCAGCCCATGACTCTCTTCCCAGTCTCCACGCTTGGTGGTGACCTGCTTTGCACCCTGCCTGGGCTTGGCTAAGAAGTCCAACTCGAGAAGAGCCAACAAACCTCACCGCGGGCCCGAGCGCTTTGCACAAAAAACAAGCTCTCTACCGATTGAAAGAGACTTCCAGTGTTGCCTTTTTGGTCGAAAACCACAAAAAGGACCCCAAGAGTCTGTGCAAGTCTTTTTTGAGAGGTTGCCCACCCTATCCATTTGAATCCATGAATCCAATGGCCGCCACGGCTCACTAAATCATCCAGCTTTTGTGGGAAAGTCGACGCAGCTGAGAAGCAGCTGGCACCCATGCGACGCCAGGCATTTGGCCCGAAGGGAAAAGGGCTATGATGACCTGCCACGACTCCGAGGCCAAACATTCCGACATCGACCCCAAGGGGACCGCCATGGACCACCGGTCGGGCCTTCGGACTGATGTCTTTTTTTCAATGGTTTCCCCTCTCCAGTTCTTTGGAATTGCAGGTTGCATCACTGAGTGGAAGCATGGAATTATGCAGAATGCCACTATGCTTAGGTAGCTGTTGTGGATCACAAAGGTACAAACAACTCACAGGATGGCGATGGTATTTGCGACGAACAGAAGTGTGTTGCCATGGGCTGTCACTCGCTCGACATGTGCCAACTAACTCTAGAAGTGAACTCAATGAGCTCTCCCCGCTGACCCAAAACAGCCAGCTGAAATTGATTTGACATGGTTTGACAGTCCAGACCCACACCTGTATTTACAGGAAGCTGGCTATGTGTGTAAAACATGGGCCTCTGATGTAGTGACACTCCACCGTGAAGCAGAGTGGGTTTCCAGTCCTTGGTGTCCAAATGATACATGCACTACCCTCAAAGTTTCCCCCGCGTGGCCCCTTCATGGCACCCCCAACCACTCAAGCTGCTCTCAAGCCTGTCTGGTACACTTGTCCTCATGTTTTGAGTCTTATGGGCAGTTCCAGATCCTTTTTAAGGAGTGAGAGTTGTCATTCTGACCAGTAGGCTCAAACAGATGCGTCTCCAATAGTGTAGTATCAGAAAGAAAGGAGGCCGTGCCCGGGTTTGATGGAAGGATGGCATGGTCCTTCCTTGACCCTCTTTTTGTGAAAATTAATCAGGCGCAGTTTGACTTGCCACTAGCCATGCAAGGATCCGAAAGAATCTGGCCTAGGACTAGGCCTCCCCAATGGTGTCTCGTTTCAAAAGGCCCGGCGTTTGTCTTCCAGTTCTTCAGCCCATCCGACAAAGCTCAGCTTGACCATCGCCGATTTCCCAGTGCCGCGCTTGGATTCGGAAAAATCGCTCTGGGCATACTCAAAAATGCCACAATGCCTCCAGTGAAAGCGGCATTGTGTGGAATATATCGGGGTACTGTCCAAAATAGTTCTGAGAGGGGATGCATGTCATCAATGGGCTGCACTCACAAAATCAAATATGCCATTACAAACAACTCTCAGTTGGCAAATGGAACACCGCCCTGATAAGTCCCACTTTCCAGGACCCTGTTTTGGTACAAAACCACATCTCCACATCTCTTTTCACGGCTCGCACCTCCCCAAAGCCCAACCATAGAGTCGCGCTTCTGCGGCAGTGGTGTCGCCCAGCAAGAAGCCACCACGGCGATTGCTGTGCGCATGCAGATCAAGATACAAACGTAGGCCACCCTGGAATGAAGGCATCTGGAAGAGTTGGGCCCAGTTGTTCTCTAATTACACCAAGAGCAAGCTTTAGTGCCTGCCTCAATCAACCATGCAAGGCAAGCATGCCTGTGTGTACTTCATTGCACATTAGCAGGAAAGACCCGTAACTCCTGTTTGGCTGTAAGGGATGGAAATTCCTGCCATGCCGTCACCAGAAGAGAAATCCAATCGATTTCATCAATCTACCAGAACTGTGCTTTGCTTCCATCCCCTCCACTATGTATATATAATTCCAATCACAGACATGGGCGTGACGATGGGTTACAATCTCAAGAGCAACTTTCCGGCTTGGGAACATTAATTAAGCGGACCAGTGTTGGTGTTTGCACCAACGCAGCATCCCGAATCCAAAATGCCTGGCCTGATTCTGGTGCACATTCAGGCAGGCTTGTTCAGCCGCGAAAATTGAAGGATGGTGCTCCAGGGTCGCTTTGCCATAGACCCGATTCAGGTTCTCCCCGCGAAGGTCCAAACGATGGTGTCCCTGGGCAACCCCTGTGCGGAGCGGAGGGGTGTAAAGCACTCTAGTCTGTAAAAACAGCTGAGGGTACAAAAGATGTCACGTAAGCAGGCTTTGACTTGCTTTACACAACTGAAGGATTTACAAATGGGAGACAAATGAAACATCCTGTTTTGGGCCGCCCAAGCATTGATGGAGGAAATGACACTGCAACCTTGAGAAGTAGAACCTAACTCATCTGCGGGGTTCCATCGGTGGGTTTTTGTTCATGTTCGTCACAAGTTGCTCACTCAAGCAAACCAACTGCACTGTTGTGAACTTCACTAATTAGTAACTTCACCGATGAAACTTTTAAAGTGAGCATGTGTTGGCTTTGTCCGCAAAGGCAAGAAGCTGAAGCCCAGGAAACATGTCTGGTTGAGGCATCGATCCATGCCAAAATCAACGAAACGCATGTTTCGGTTGATGTGGTTTGTTCAGTGGTGTATACATATCACTTGATCTATCTTGATCTACTAACGTGCATGCCTGTCAAGATTGTATGTTTTGAATGGTTGATAAAAGTGCAGGGGTACTGCCCAGCAGTGATTAAGGTGAACTCACATGAAACTGTTCGACAAGCCTTGCACTCGCACTCCCACCGGCCCTGACCACCCGCCGCACCGTCGGGGTTCAGCACCGGGATCACGAAAAAGACATAGCGCCGCAGCAATTCTTTGGCCGCTGCACAGGAGGACGAGAGGAAGTCTAAAAGACCTGATGCAGAAAATGATCGCTTGAAAAGGCAAACAACTTGGCGTCCAAGGATCTTTCTTCAAGCTGAAAAAGAATGGCGTCTAATCGTGTTGCAAAAGGTATCCGCACAAAATGTGGGTTTGCTGGACACAAGCCCACTAAGTTAGCAAGCTTTCAAAGCTCTGGCAACAACATAGCTCAGGCTACTGCAAAGTCATAGGTGATCGTCCATTGGAAGCAACCGGAAAGCATCAAAGCTGCTTCTTTAATCCCTCGGGCCCTGCATCCTAGAAGCTAAAGGCCAAATGTTTGTCTCCGTACACTTTGCGCGATGCATCAATTCTATGAGAGTTTACAATACTTCATCAGTAGCATGCTTATAAGCTTCGCTTGGAAGTAGGAAGCTCTCGAAGACACGATTTCAGGAGTGGTGCCTTCCAGCATATAACTGGCTGGAGTCTCCCCAGGATGAACCCTGGCGCTGATGAAAATCGGTCGCCGCCCAGGGAATATCCAAGGACGATCCTGGCGAGCGTCAGTGAGAATCCTCTGTTGAATAAAACAAAAACACTCTTGCATTTGGAGCTGCATCTCCCGAAAAATGATAATGCGACAGATGACCCGATATATTTGCTTTCCTCCTACATACTGATGAGCGATGGAACGCAATAGCTTCTCTCATACTGATGATGAATGTTGTGTGCAAACCCCGAACTCACTGGAAAATAATGCAAGTAGTGCTAAATCAGGCTATTAGCATGTTCAGCATTCTTGCTAATCAAATAAACAAGCTTTGCAATCAACCATGCCACATGATGACCGCGAGCAAGAGATACGGAAACCTGTGATCAGAACAGGATGTGGCCCAACCACTGCCTGCTCATCCAAGCTGAGCTCCGGCAGTAGCGGCAGGCGCTGCGCCGAGCGATTTGACCGCTCGGTGATGGTCAGAAGCTCGATAGGATAGCCTGCGGCTGTCGGGCCCCGGAACAGGTGCTGAGTTCTGTTTACCTCACTGTTGCGAGTGAAAACGACCATCTTCATTGGACTGGTGCCAACTCTCGGTCGTGCGGGTGGCTGATTCCTCGGTCTCCGCTGAGTTGGGAAAATTCCACGACCGGCCTCCCAGCGACTTAGTGAGCTCTTCACGATTCACCTTAGCCGCTGGTGACATGGACCGAAGAGAGCCCAACTACTTGGTGAGCTCAAAAAAGTAGTAAAACAGATGCTGTAAGGAACTGCCTGTTTTGGAACTGCAACCAAAACCACATCACGCAGTAACTAAAATTGATCTTACACAATGAAGGTCTATCCCCAAACTGCACCGTGCTTTTTGCTGCACTTCATTCTCACCCCTCAAAGTGCATGCGATTCACATAGGCGCCACTCTGCACAAAGCGTGGGAGCACCGTTTGCAGGTGACTGTAAATCCGACCTGGGCGAAGTCACGGTGCGAGGTCGCTGCAAAAGCTGAAGTTCTCAAGGCCCGCGCCGAGCGAATAAGGGAAGGTGAGCGCGAAGTAGAGTTCCTTGAGAGTCTCATAAGAAGCACTGAAACTGTTGGTTCTAGAAAGGATGAGACCAACACAACAAAAGTGGCGACTGTCTGTCCGTACAAAGGGCACCTCAGCATGGACTTGTCTGGATTGTTACTTGCTTGCCACAAACCTAGTGAAAGAATGGATACTGTCCTGATCCTTCTCCAGCTTCCTTGTCATGGCGTGCTCCTCAGTCAGGCGGCGACAACAACTTTAGTAAACAAGTAGAATTGGAAGCCTGTTCTTATTCATTACCAATCAAAACACTGCTCGGAGACTCGAGTGGATCATCTCTCCAAAGCACTTCAGAACTCGGAGTTTTGACTTCTTCAACAGAAACAGAAAGTGTGAAGCTAACACCTTGACCAACTGCCCCAGGCCGAGCATCGAAAGTGAAGGCAATCATTCCATCCTGACCAAGCTCAGGAGTTCAATTCAAAACAAGCTCGCAAACAACTGTTGACATTGGCACAAGCGACGGACATGTAGATCAAGTATAAAGTACTGTTTCTGCACATAATGAATTGGATGTATTTAGCCGCCCACCAGCATGTACAAGTACTCAAATGAACCTTACCAGCCCCCATGAACGCTGACAGGTCTCAGGCATTCGAAGCATCCCGATCTCTCCCTTCACCAGTTGCCAGCCCTCATTGCTGCTAGTGTATCTGAACACAGGTTGCAAGCCGTCCGTCAGCAACTGCCTCGGAGCATGAAGCTGCTTTGGATAACTGTGCGACTGAAACATACTGAAGCTATAAAGGCTGTGTATAATTAATTGTACAGTATATATAATTATAATATATATATATATATCAGCATATGCCAGCTATGCCAGAGCATCAGCTGGAGGCATCTCAGCTTCCAAATCGGTCGAACACCACCGACCCATCGACCCTCCGGCGGCCCGACCCGCTCACCATGCGCGTCGTCTCCAAGCGCCGGAAGCGCGACAAGCCCAGGACGTGGAAGCGCAGCCTCGTTGGTGGTGCTCGAGACTAGACGTGTGTGAACGTGTCGACGGGGCCAACCGTCACAGCTGGCTTTGCCCCGTCTCTTCCAACAGTCATCAGCTTGGAGCTTGGAAAACAGTTGTATATATAAGTAGAGGCTACTGAGTCTGCTGTGCATATAGCAAATTATAGCCGCATGGAGGCAATATGGGAAGGTGTCCAAGAAAATTGTGGAGTTGAAAATTCATGGCCTTATTTTGCTGCTCAATGGCATTCAATCGCAGGGTTCCCTCACCAAGCATGGATGGAACATCGGTTTGGATTGACAGCACAGCACCGAACTGTTTTTGCAAGATGCATAGATTAGACAGTTGCATTGACCTTTCTGAAATACATTGTCTAGAGAACTCAACGGAGTCAGAGTGAGTCTCTCAATGGATCCAAGAAGGTACATGTCAGAAAGTCTGTTGGAGCAACGGAATGTCTTGCGGTTGCGAAACATGTACAGTAAACTCTTGCCGGCCGATCTCTTCAAAGGTCCAGTCTCTTGGGATCTTGGGTGCACTTTTTCGGGGCAATTCATGATGGGACTGGAGGAAGGACGAGAAACTCAACACATCGTGGTCTAGAGTCTGAAGGGTCTGAAGGCACGTCGAAACACGGCGGCCTTGTCTTTTCCACTTCGCCACGGATGCCGAAGTGGAACCACTGACACTCCTGTATTGCCCCCAAGGGCGTAGTCTGGCATCAACGAAGCGATGTCATTATCTAATGCAGTAACGAAAGAAAAGGAAGCACCTCCAGTTTATCTGAGGAAAATGTTGCTTCACAGCCATCCCATCAAAGGTTATCAAAGCTGAGAACGCGACTGCCACGCCCGAGCCAGGTCCAAAACAATCAAAAACATTCCATGGTCGCACAAATTAATCGTGTTCATTGTAGAACAACAAGTTGCACACCCCCTCCGATAAAATGGCAAAGTAGGCTGGATTGATTTCTTTTCACACCTTTCAGGCTTCCTTTCGGTTGCCAGCACGCCATGCAAAGTTCACACCTTTGCACTGCGGAATCCTAACAATGCCCAAGGCGTCCTCGCTCGCAAAGGGAGTCCCAGCACAATCTGCCCGGGCCTAGTGTTCTCACTCTCACTCTCACTCTCACTCTCTCGTCTCAGTTTTCCCTTGGTCCAAAGAAGTGAGCTTCACTAGGCATGACTGCTCTGGAAACAATCACAAGAACAACTACTGTAGTTGCCCACACTGCAAAGCCCAGAAAACGGCATGCTATACAGTGCTGCAAACTTGAAAACTACAATTGACGGTCACAATGCAGAAGCTGCAGCTTTAGTCCAAATGGGACACTCTGGGCATCCAGCCGTCACTTCGAAGCACAGCACACCACTGTCTGCTGGCAGTGCTGGCAGTGCTGGCGCAGGCGTTGCTGGGGCAGGCGCTGCTGGTGCTGGCGTTGCTGGTGCCGGCGTGGGGTAGCCACCCCTTGGTGCAGGGAGGTCAACAGGCTTAAGCACCGCTTGAATCACGACGATGATAGCAACGCTTCAACTTTGGAATGCACATTGTTCTATTAGGATGAAGATGATGAAGAACATCAGAGTAGAGTTTCAGAGTTGCTGTCAAAGTGCGCCCAAGTGACATGTTGACATCATTACTCTCGCCAGAGGTCGGGCGATCCTCCATTGGAGTGAAACCTCAAGGCTTATCCAGTGCTGAAGGAGAGCAACACCCAAAAGCCAGGGTGGGTAGCACACAGTAACAAGGTAAGAGTGACCTAGCCTATATATCCATCAGTTTGTTCACAGAAATCTTTGGATTGAATTGGCTAGAGTGAACGTCAAACCTGGAAGGTTGCAAGACATCCAAGAAACTTGGTGAGCCGAGTATCGGTGTAGACTGGGTATGTATCGGCTGTATGTAAATCTGAGGGTTCACTCGCTCGAAGCACCAAGTTCAGACCTCCAGCACCTCGCTCCTTCCCTCCTTCCCTTCTTTCTTTCGAGGATTTGGTTGCTCTGGTTGTGTAATCGTCCAATCCCTTCGAGCGCAGCAAAAGCCTTCACTCCCGACAAAAGGAACAGTGACTGAAGGTAAGAGGACACCAAGCCCATGTTGCCCTCCTTCACCTGGATTGGCAGACTCCAAGCAACGCTTCAATTCCGGGGCCGTCGCACTTTCGTCGCACTGCGCCGCTCCGGGCCCCAGTTGAGCCCAGCCATCCTCGTCCACCAGCTTCTGCCATCCTCCAAGCGTCACGCGGCAGCTGGCGTACCTTCCAGCAGCATGGGCCAGGTAGGGTGCTGCTGCATTTGTTTTGGTTCATTGGTGGAAACAAACAAATTCATTCAACAAAAGAGGAAAAAAAGCAGAGCCCCGATGGCTTGAAGTCTAGGGAGGATCCTGTCAGACAAGAGCGACAAATGCTTCGTATCGTACTAGGTAACTTCATGGAGTTTCAGTGAGGTTTGGTTCACATGCTTGACATGATGATACACAGGCTGGACAAGAAGTTGGTAACAAGCCTGTGAAGGCTTGAGAATCCTACAGAGGCTGATATATGATATATAATGATTGCGGACCGAAGTAAGTTACAGTATCATAACTTACTCTGGAGACAAAGCGTTACCAAACTATCGTCCCGTTGAGGTATGTATCCAGCACTCGTGCGTCGAAGGGAGCATGAGCTTATCTATCAAGCAGGTGTTCTACGACTTATATCAACTTATCACCATCCAGCAAGAGCTCATCTATGGAACGGAACCGAACGATGCTTGGTTCATCTTGCGCAAGGCTGGACTCCATTACGCCCTCTCCCACCACGAAACAAGCCAGGACACAGGCGCGCTCCAGCCGACTTCTTGGTAATGAGCTTGGCTTTCGGATGTGGCTCTTTGCGAACGCTGCAGTTGTGCAGCATCTCGTAAAGGATTTTACCTCACTTCCAGCCCAGTGTTGATGCTTGTTTGCAGCAAAAGTGAACAACCCCTACAATCGCCCTGGGTTCAGCTCGGATAAATGGGCTGAAGACCTCCACTGTTGTACCTCCTGCATGTTGGAAATATCTGAGAATGATCAAGCAGGGTCGGCCAAGCTTCCAAGTGATAAACAGACTTTATGCCATCTCATGCCTCTAGTCCCCTACCTAGTGTGCAACTGATTGCTTAGTCTGAGCCAGCCAAGAAAGAAAAAGGCAACCATCAAAGAGTGTCTACTCAGGTCCGTCGATGACATCATGATATGGGCACTGAGCACTGCAGCCCCGCTCGCTGAAAGCAAACAAGCTACGATCGTCAGGTTCTGCTGCCCACTGCACATCGGCCGAGCGCAAGTCCTCCAACACATTTAGCAAGCGCTAACAGCAACAGCATGGATCGGCCACCTACGGTATCTGCCTCATCTCTTGATACAGTAGTGTGTCGTAGTCTTGTCATGCTACGAAATATGCAAAAACACCATCAAAGCCAAAAGCACAACTGTTCCAATTGGCTTCGCAGCATCTCGCACCTTCTTGGACAGAGGCTCTGGCGACAGATTGGGCCGGGCGACTTGTGCACCCGCCAAATTTCCGGAGTCAAAGTCGCTGAAGAACCTCGGGTGTGCCGGTCTATCGTGGACAGCCCACCAGGAAGAGACCATTTTTTTCCTCATGTTTTATGTCGGCGAGGAGAACCATTTGTTTCCACCATCAGCACCACGAGCTTTGAGTGCAGAGCAAGTTCAACGAGCTGAAAGTTGCAAAGGTTGAGCAAATTATGTGGGTGGGGTTGAAGTCTGCCCAAGTTCACAAACAAGTGCTCAATGAATGCTGATGGCAAAGAGCGCTGATGGGCAAGGAGGTCAGAGTCAATATCTTAGAATAATTACCAAAAAAAACCTCCTCAAACTTCATGGTGAACCTCAAGTCCGTTTGCCTGGCAGACCAATTACGCTCATTGCAAAAGAAACATCAACAGAACCCAATGGTTTTGAGGCATCAAATTCACCCCACCAACAGCTACAGTACCTAGTTGAAACCAACACTTCCGGTCCTCTTCTCTGCCGAGGCGCTCAACCTCGCCCGCAAGCCATGGGCCATCAGGCATGCCCTGGCACAAATGCGGCAGGGATGTCGAGAGACTGGGCAGCTGGCCGGAATCTCTGATCCGAGTGGAGATTGGATGAAATCAGCATGCTAAAGCCTTCACGCCCGGGCAAGCATTCCAGTGTGCAAAGCAAGCGAGCATTCCCGGGCAAGCACTTGTTGAGGATTTACATGTGATACATGCGTCCTCCCACCTCTGGCTCTGGCAGCAAGGGATCTTCTGGCAAATCCTGATCAAAGTGCTCCTGACAAAGACCCACGTCAAAAAGGCTCGAAGGTGAGAATCATCTGATTGGAAAGCATTCAAGATCATTGAAATTGAAGTCCGTGCATTTCCAAGATGATATAGATCAGAGTAGCTCGACCGACTCTATCGACTCAACTAGAAGCTGTCCTGCAATCAGATCTGCGTTGCCTCCCTTCACCCCAAATACTAAAAGCATCTAATATTAACGAGACACGAGACTGTGCCGCTTCTCCTGTTCCTCCTCTTCTTCCTCCTCAACTTCAAGAATCTCCTCAGGATCTTCATCTTCCTGCTTCCAAGCAAATTCCAGATCCAGTGGTTCACACTTACCTTGGTTTTGACCCAATTTGGTGCTCACGTTGCAGGCTAAAGAAAAACTTCAAGATACTTCAGCAGGCTTGCAAGAATGTTCGGTTGATGTTGTGTTCAATGCATATGTGTGTGTGTGCGCCTCGGAACTACAACATACGACAACCAGATCAACATCATGACACTCCTCCTCTTCCTCCTCCCCAGAGGCTTCCGATGGCCTCTCCTCTTCCCTGCGCTTTGTCTGATTTAGGATGATGGTACCCTGGGATCAGAGGGCTCTAGCAATCCTGAGAGCTTGAATCCACACAAATACAGTACATCTGTTAAGCAAGAAGTGAGAAAAGATCTGACCGACCACTGGTGGACCATCTTCTTTCCCTGAAGGCTACGGTATAGTTTTGGATGGACACTGGGCATATCAATCCTTCCTGCCAGCCTCGGAGTGGCAATTTGTGCTTCGTCCTCATTGCAGTTTTGAACTGGTATGAGCATAAGCTTTGCAGCTTGAACTCCACCCTTTGAGTACAGAATGAAGGCTGTGGAAGCCCGTTGCTTCGATGGCATTCTCCAACCCTCCAAGTTCCCTTTTGCAGTCTTTGTCTGCCTCCTGTGGATCTGCACTGGCGGTATAAGGTGTGGGGGGCAACAACACGAACGCATTTTTGGCCCTGCGCATTAGCCAAGTCTGTCCCTCTCCTCTATCCCCTTCTCTGGGCTCCATGAATCACTCATTAAAACTGGCTCGTGAGAGACCAGTGGAGGAAGGTCACCATCGTCCTGGTGCTTCAACAGCAGTCAGGCACAAAGACATACAACGTGTGCGCAAAATATACAAGTGTTATGCAAGGGGCATGCAACCTGTCCAAACATCATATCTGGTTGTGAATGATTTCACAACTACTGACATCCAACATCAGGACTCGTCCCACAAATTTAGATGTTCAACTGCCTAGTGGGTGGGACAGAGACTACAATGGGACTGAAATGGAGTTCACTAGATAGTTCTTTGTTCTTGTCTGAAAACCAACACTGCAGGCACTTGTCAATTAGTCCTCCGGGTGCTCGGCAATATGCTGCACGTCCTGGGACTGACATTCTGGCTGCTCTATGCAATCAAAATGTCTCATCAATCACATGCAACATGGCCAGCAGACCAATCACGGGAAGAATCAGTCCCTATGATTAGATGCCTACACACAGGCATGGGAAGGTCCAGAATTTAGGATTTGGACTGACCCTTCATGACATCCGTGTCCCAAGAAGCAAAATCTGAAACTGTCTCAAGCAAGAATCTCTCCAACGCACCATGAGCCGACAGCATCTGCAGAAGCACCAGGTAGCGCCATGCGCTTACTGCTGTCGCTACAGTTGTTTTTTGGACAGGCTCTATACATTGTCTACAATATTCCCAACAAACGCACTTTCGTCTTGGCTTCATGGCTTGCAAACATGCACAACTGATGCTTGAAGATCGTTTGCATTGGCCTTTAGATCGCGACATATCTGGGAACTTACACACCAAAATCAACTGTTTGAGGCAGAAGAAGTTCCATACAAGCTTAAGCCTGACAGAGAAGTGGTAAGGAGAAAGACATCTTTGCCCATTGGATTGAACAACCATCGGACCATCGGCACTCTTTTCCCATCCGCAGATCGTCGTGAAAGGCCTCAGTGCAATGCGGATCACAAGAAGCTAACATAAATGACATCATAGGACATCATCTGACATACGCCGCATTCCTGAGAATCGTGCCACCCACATGATTGGGTCAGGGTTGCTGGCCAATTTCGGTCCGGGTTTTCTGGTGGCAAAAACCCACAAGGGTTGTCCTTTCATGGTCATGGTGGCCTTCCAGTTCTTTGCACTATATATATATATATATGTGGAAACCTACCACAGGTCAAAAGGCTTGAACCATCAGAATATTCAGAATATGCATCAAGTTGAATCTGTCCATCCCCCCCCCAAAAAAAGCCATAAATACTGGCTCTCCGCAAGATCTGGCTTTCGACACATGACTGGGTGAGAGAAATTGCAGAAGCCAAAACGATCTGTGCGCGCTAGCAGGCTCTTTTGTCCACCTTCTCTGGCAAATCGAAGGATCCAAAACGTGTGGCAGCCGTGAAAGATTGCTAAGTCACCGGCAACAAATAGCAGTACCATAATTGCATATTCACTGGCTTTTCTAATTGCTGATTTTGCACAGGTGAACCTGCATTCCGCAAATCTTAATCCGCCACTGCCAAACTGAAGCTAAAGACTCCACTTGCACACCGTGCAAGGCTGCTGAAGCCTGCAAACACGTCTGCAAAGTCGCCTTTTTAGAGATAGAGATAGAGATGTTGTGAACACCAATTGAATTCCTTTCCTATTCTGGCCATCATCTCCAGGACTTTGCAGCATCTTGCATGAGTTCCGCAGAACATTCTCACGCAAAGCCTTCGTTCATCCACCTCACGTAGCGGTTCTGGATTTCTACCTCCTCCACGGTCTCCACGCGACAGTTTCCCAAGACTGGACTGCCCAGCATCACTGCCACAGCTCGAGCACGGGAAAGCCTGGGCTGATGTTCGAGGGTGAGGCAAAAGAGCTTGTTGACTGACCAATGAGACCGGAAGTCCCCATCATGATGGCCCTTGCTGAAACATCGTAGTCATAGATGAACCCTTCAAGGCTGCTAAAAACAAAAAAAGGCTATAACCTGTAACAGTAGCAAAAAAACACCAAGACTTGCCGAGCCCATAGCAACCCACCAAACGATTCTGTACCCATCAGACCCAAATCTGCCAAGTGACGCTACATTAGTCCTCTTTGGATCTAGCACAAAACACATCCGACCACCTGCACCCGAGCTGGCTCCCAAGGAAATGATGGAGACTGCAGCCTGCTGCCCTTGGAACAAATCAACGGAGCCCACGCGTATTTGGTTCATCTGCGGAACACGGCTGCGAGCCAACGTGGACCTGGTCCGTTGACGTCAGAAGATTTGAAGGGGGATGATATGGGACGGTTAAATCATGTTAAATCTGCAGGACCAAAGTGAACTGTTGATGGATTCAAATGGCTCATTAAAACAAATTAAAAGCACGATATCTCCACTCTCCTGCATCTCAAGCATGTTCTTTTTGCTTGACTAACACGTCAACACCCAATACTGTAACATGCACCTGATCATCACCACCTGCGCATTGTATGGGCAAACAATGATGATGTCAGAGCCCTGCAAGGCTCGTGGAGCATTGTCATCCAGGATGACTTGGGACTGCAGCAATTGTT